ATATCTGTGCTTGGTAACAATGTACTTTTCCCATCATGTCTTTTGACTTAAAAAAAGCGCGTGGTGACGGAGTCTAACAACATAGTAGCCTAGAAATTGCTATTGGCAGAAATTCTGACATTCCGGCTAAGGAATCGTTTGTCGTCAAAGAAACAGTCCAAGTGTCGAAAAATGTAGAATTCTTAACAACACCAAGTACATTGAATACTTAGATTGAAAGTGACATATTCCCAGCAAGCAGTTCTATAAAATGTAATATCGTCTATACATTGAAATTTTGAGTCATAATAAATTTTTATTGTATTATCCGAATCGAATAAATCGTTTGCTAGAAATGAAACGCATTCCTTGAATAACGAAATATATTTATTTAGGCACCACCAAGGGAAAAAAAATACTAAAGCTATTTCATACATGTTACACATCTGTACCGGCTACACAAGAGGCCGAGTTGTTAAGACCTCCGAATATAGGGAGCTACCCCGATTCAAAACTTAGACAAAAAGTCTGGCTGCATGATTGATTTTCGTGGTTCTTCTTTACGTATAACGTGAAGTCATCTGTTCTCTTAGGTAGATAGCCTTGGTGTGCTTTACCATATTTAAATGCCATACATTGTTACCAAGCACAGATATTTTACTGAATAAAAAGTATCTTTGTTTCAGAATAAGCCAATAATTATGAAATAATCCAGCGTACATGTATTTTGGCTTTACAAAACACATGTTATTTTATCGCGTTTTATACCCAACCGCCACTAGGGCATCTCGAGTTACATAAATTCTTTCTTCTTTACATTACCTACTTTAATCAATGTTTTAATGCATTCATAAATTAAAAAAATACCTGATATTATGTTTTTATTGAACTAAGGATATTAGATACTGAAGTAATCACATAATAGTTATTAGTAAGTTCGCGTTCTAACGGATTTCAGTTATTTAAAGCAACATTAATGCATCGCAAATAAAATAAAGTATTGGTAATTTTTATGTCATAACTCCTTTTAATAAATCTAGTTTTTAAAATATATTAGACTATATTATATTAGAAATTAATCCTTTAAAGAAAAGAATTGATTTATATTTCAACTTCTGTGTTTTTAAAGAGCATTATTTCTTATAATAGTTTCTTATAAAAATTAATTTTTCTATATTAACTATTGTAACTCTCATAAATAGTACATTTTATTACAATATAATGTACTTAAATCATAGTGTTCTTTTGCTATTCATAATAAGGAAAATCACAATAGTCCAGAAATAACTAATAAATTGTTTTCCTGGGTTTGTTTTATTTTTAACTATAGTTCGGAAACGTAGGCTAAGGAGAAAGAAGATTGACACAGTTAATTATTATTTCCTAAACATTTCTACTTAAATATGCAAAACATTTCTGTTTTTATTGGTAAATATCCTTCATACTTATAAGTCAAGAAACAGGGTAAAACCTCAAACCTCTACTTAGGTCCTTATCCAAATTCATATACTCTGTCCCTTTAGCACATAGCAAAAGTTCCCACTATTAGATCCACGTGGCAAATGTAATTTTACAACACCACATAAACTACGCAGAGCACGACTCGCATTCTCATCTTCTGTCCAAAAAGTGTAATGTTAATTGCAATAATGTTCTACGCAAATTGTTATATTTAGGACAGTATAAAAAGATACGATCTTCCATATCATTCTCCTGGCGAAACAAGCATAATTGGAAAATTTGTTAAATAGAATCTATACAATGAAATCTTAATTTTAAATTTCTTTTCTTTTTTTTCCTTGGAACAATAACAATATCCTTCTTCATAGTAGAAGATTATTTTCTAGAGGAAATTTCATTCATTTTTCAGAACTCATGCATTTCCGAGGCCCACCAGCTGTTGAAATTGAAGTTGCTGCACTCTGCTAGTTCGACTGGATCAAATCCCTGTAAATGAGATTGCTGCATTGGAGTTACTGTGGTTTTCTATATGTGTAACATGAATAAGAGACATCTCATTTAGAAAGTCATATACGAATGAATAAGTAATCCACGAATGCATTCTTCTCCTTAGGCAGATAGCTTTCCAGTACTTTGCCTAATCTAAATAATCCAATTCTTGTGTTCTTTCATATTCTTTACTTAATTGTTCTTCCTCTGCATAGAACAAACCTTGCGTCCTACTATTATTAACAACTACTGGAAAACCACTCTGGAGAAGACCTTTTATACTGTTTATCAACTATTTCTTCAGATTGGATGCTTACATGGCCTAGCATTCAATAATGATCTATAGGTCTTTAAACATTTTACCATTTTTCAGAAACTCTTGATTTAAGAAAAGCGTTTATATTGATCATATTCAGAATTACCCAATATAGTTAGTTGAATTAAATTCTATTTTGGTAGCTATCAGAATTAAAGTCAGTCGGTTACACTTGGCAACAGCAAAAATTTAAATGACAATGTAACATAAAATTAATGATTCCATACATGATTTAAGTAATAACTCAGAATAAATGGACTAAGAATTTAACACGAAAAATCTCCACATAGCCTATAATAAAACCGATTATGTGACTCTGTATGAATAAAAAATAGCAGCCATAAAACTGTTAGTTAAGCCATACATCTGTCATAAAGTTAACGTAAGGAGCTGTTGAACTTACTCAGTAAAATGCTTGAAGAAGGAAATGTTTCAGAATGATCGAAATATTCTTATTTTCTGCGTATTGGCAAATCTGAGAAACTAATACGTTTTTTAAGCTAAAGTTTTGTTAAATTCTTCGAAAAAATTTATATATGGTAACATAATTTGCTGGGTGATGATAAAAATAATTTTCCACCGAATTATCATGGCTACCTTCTTAACCGTCTCTCACGCAATTGTGGGAAAAATTTGTGACGACATGAAATAGTTTTTGAAGCCACGACTTACATTCTTAGCGATATATATTAACATAAGCTTGCTTATAATTTGCTTTAATTTAACTCTCTAGTTTAAAATATGTTTAACTTAAGTATTTTAGGAAGAGATGACCATTGGATCACGAGTTAGTATTTAAATAAGAGAAGATAAAAGTAAAATGGAGCAACACTTATCGAATAATGCGACAAGGTAAATATTCTGCTAAGAGAAAATTTCGTCTTTTCTTCTACATGTAGTATACTATATGCATGGTATTTTTCAATGAACTCTGATATTCATTTAGACATGGAGGTGGCGTAATTGTCCACTTAAGGAATGTACTGACCATGTTATAATTCTTCCAGGATGCTACTGAGCATATTCTAAATTAGTGTAATTGCTGGAGATGGTCAATCTCCTCGAGAAATGTACCTTGATAAGTCTTATCCCAAAAAGGGCATTAGCCCGATTAGTCTCGAGACGGGATTCGGCGGCGTGTCACTCTAAATGTGTGAATCACTTTTCAAATTGTTGCCACGATATGTTATCGCCCTGCATTACTTTAAAAAACTAAATAATTAAGAATTTGCATGAATATGCGTATGTTTCTCGCAATGTGAAAAAAAGGACTGTACTTATAGGGTCATCAAACTTTTAATAACGCAATCAGTTCTCAATACGAACATGGGCACCTGGAAGCCCAAATTTTGAGCTTCGAATTTCATATATCTCATATTTTATAAAAACTCAATGATTTGAAATCGAGTAGTGGTAATACTGTACCGATTTAAAAAATGTTACCTCTATGAAATGAACACTGTTATCTTATGAGATTCTAAAGATATGCTGTTTTTAAATGTTTTGTGAGTTTGCTATTCAACTGAATTTTATGTGTCGTAAGTGGAAAGAAGATGATATTTAATTAATAAATTTAACACGCAAAACGTTAATAATAAAAAGACAAAGAAAATGTTTTGCAACCCATCTCACTAAGAAAGCTATACATCGATATGATGAACTGAGGAAAGAGTGAAAAAATAGAAAATGTATGTCAACACTTTACACTTCATCAGGAACTCTGCTCTAAAGCTTTTGTAATTTTGCTATTAAATTGTATATAGCGTAAGGGCGAAGGAAATGATGCTTAATAATAAAGCTAAAGAGAAAAAAAGAAATGGGTGAAATGGCGTGAGTGCAACAGCAGACTGGTAGACTGCGAGCTCAGCGAGAGCGTAGAAAAACCTTAACAAACTCTTTTGGGCGGGCGTTAAAATCTTTCTTTTTTGTCATTATTTAAATTTCAATTAAAAGTCCTAGTCTGGGGGAAAATATTTCTCTAGAAGAAGCGAGGCAAGAAGAGAATAAATAAAAATATCAGACACATATGTATTAGGATGAAAATACTTAAAAGCTTTATTTTGAAAGCGATAGTCTTCAGGCATAGGAAGTCTGTAGCAGTCATATGTAGTCATCATATCATCGTGTACCTCTGTTTTCAATGGAAAACATTCCGGGTCGGACTTCCAATTCTCTTGCCCAACTATCAGTCTCTCTAAAGGATTTTCAGCTGGGGAGCGTTTCAAGTGGTCCCATGTAGCAGAACCATTAACAAGACATATGAAAGCCACTAAAAACTGTGATAGCTGACTTCCCTACCACTAGTGTGGCTAGTTTGTAAGTATATCAACTAGATTCGCCACAATTTGCCAAAGTATACTCTCATACTGGTTTTAAGAAGGAAAGCAAAAACCATTTCTATGCATCTGACATTAAGACTTTTGAGTAAAAGTTAGGAGTATTTTGTTGAGATCCCCCCCCTCCTATTTGGATTGACGTTCAATGACAAGCTGAGAAAGAATCCTAAATATCGTAGGATAATATGCCAGGTGTTCAGGTTTTCCATGTTTAGATTTAGACTGTTAATAGGCATGAAGAAGGTAAACATTTTTCAGGAGATTCTATATATATGTATGTAGATCTATATTTTCTGTAAATAGATTTATGCAGCTGTTTCATAATAAGTTCTGATTCATACATAAACCAAACGTTTTGGGTAGATAAGGTTATATGATTAAACAGTATAGATGTAGAAATTAGATGTAAGGCAACTTACTCGCACATTTGGTTCAATTCGTACTCCACAATTTCTGTAGTATGAAAAATATCTAGGTCAAACATAAACGTATGAAATGGATTTAGACAAAGAGCAACAGCAGTCTCATTGCATGTTACGGCCGCAGATATCCTTTCAGCTAGAAGTAATTATTAAAGAACTGAGATATAAAATTATAACAAGTAACGAAATATTTCATAAAAAATAACTTACTTACAAGAAAGGAAAGAGAAGGCCATACTGAACATGTTAATAGTGCATGGTAATGAAATAATAATTTACAAAGTTGTATAGAATAAATAAGAATGAAGTAACACATAAATCATATTGCACAAAAGTACATATACAACTATTATTATTATTTTTAATATAATAGTGAAATTTGATTTAGTATAAGAAATAAAAATACATAAAATAATAATTTTTTCAACTAAAATTATCATTCTTCAAATTTAACCAAATATCATAAAGATTGAGATTTGTTGATTCATAAAGTTTCAGATTTGAGTCTTCAGCGAAATTAGGATATTTTCAAGCGCCACCAATCTTAATGTATTTTTCGGAGCGGGGAGAACATGCAAAATCATGGAAACCTTAATCTGAATCGAAACCATGGATTTCAACCTTTCATGTTTTTACTTACACCCACGAATAATTCACAAATCATGCGCTTTTCGCAAATTTGCTACTTTTGTCAAACCCGTGCTACTAAAATTTATGTCTATGCGAATTTGTGATGTTTCAGCTAATCTATCATTTCCTCATGCTAAATTTTGCTTTTTAAAAAGTTTTTCACATTGTCAAAAAGTACGTATATATTAACATAAAACATATATTAAAATTAATCTATGAAAAAAAAAAATCTGAAAGGTTTCATATTTTAAATTACGTCCAAAGGAGCGTTTTTTTAACGTTTTGTGTGTTACCTTTATTTATTAAATATCATGTTCTTTGTACTTAAACCATAAAATTCAGTTCAACAGCAATGTCGCAAAATAATTTTTAAAATGAGCATATCTTTAGAGTTTGCGATACACAGTCTCGCGCGCTGGAGATAAAAATGTTCTTGTTGTTGTTGTTGTTGTTTTGTTTTTCGTACAGTGTTGCCATTGCTCACTTTGAAATCGTTGAGTTTGCTAATCAAAAATTCGTTAAAGTTTTACAAAATATGAAATCGATAATAAAACAAATTTCAAATTAAAATTAGCGACTTTCCGGATGAACATATTCTAAGGAGTAGAATTACATTCATTCAAAAATTGGATAGCTCTAGGTACCGTTGTTTTATCACAATGCGAGACACATACATACATTTATGCAGATTGTTCATTACTTAATTTCTTCAAATATAATGCAGGACTCTAACATTTGGTGGCAACAGTATGAAAAGTGATACGCCGTTTATAGTGATTCGACGCAAAATCGTAAAACGAAAACACTAGTCCTTGAGGGACGAAGCCCCTTTGGACTAAAAATAGTTCATTTAGATTTTAAATCAAAGTTCGTAATTCGGAATTCTGTGATCGTAGCGCATATGTGCACTCAGGTTACTGTATTTGTCGCGGATATTTTCATGCGTTTAACCAATTGTTTTGTTTAACATTTTGATCTTTGAATCTTGCAAAGTCCTATAGCTGCTGCATTGACTAAAGTATCAATTATGAGTGACGTCAAAATATTCAGCACTATCTTTCAAAATTACTTGGCTTAGGTATTCATGTTTGACAGCTGATTAGAAAAAAATAAGAGACAAAAAAACTTTTATTGCTAGCTAGATGAAGGTGAACTGATTCAATGAAGCGCAATACTTCTTTACAGCATAAGCAAAGTTCTCACCAAATCTTGTTTGAAAATACTTGTAATATAAAAAAATATATCAGAAAAATAAATAGTATAAATAGCAGTAGAAATTGAAATTTGGAACTTGAACCTGTTATACATCGATCAATGTGAAAGCATTACGAGCACTTTATGATTCCTGTGAAATCAATGTAAGAAGTTTAAATTCCTTGAGTACTGTACCGGAACCTTATGGGGGCTTTTAGGAAAATTTATTTTAAACATTGTATTGGATGATATGAATTTGGAATTTAATAGAAAGCGAAATTACAAGCATGACAGAACTTCTCGAATTAACTATATTAGAGGTAGAGAACTGGGAAATTAAAAAAAAGCGATACAAATTATGGTGTTAAACAGAATAAAAGTAACTTTTCAAGAGGAGTAAGCTTTTCTACTGCTTTCTACTGTTTCGATGTTAACCACAATGAGAAGCCGTGCTATTTTTATTGTAATCAAAGTACACATGAAAAACGCGAGAAAATAAATGAGGGGGGGGGGAAAGTCGAAAAAACCAAGAGCGTTGTTCTATATGTTTTACGAAAGGAAATGTATTCTTTGAATATAAGATGATAGAACGTTAACCCTGCCAGTTGTGTAATAGTTTAATTCATAATAATTTTGTAGCGATTATGGATATATAAATTTTCAATATGTAGAGAGATTTAGTATTTAGAGAAAGTATTTTATTTTGAGAACGCTGTTCTCGTAGATAAAATTAAATTGCTTGTGGATTAAGTTTCGCGTTCTAAATTAAGATTTTATAAAAATGAATAAATGTAATGCCCTTCTTATTTAAACCTTAACTGTATTTATCGCTCGAGCATTATGTTGCTTCTACTTCTTCTCGAGAATTATATTACTTAGAAATGAATTTTTATCTGGTGATAGATATTACTGCTCACATATCATCAACTGACACTCTTGACTTAATGTTCGGAGGTACACTTTTTAAGATGTTATTTCGATTTTTGTAAAATACTGTAATATTTCCCGGAGTGCATAAGCAACTTGTGTAAATAAATTCTAAAATGAATATGAATAATTTGTATCTTACTTTATAAGGTTTCATCAAGCATTCTAATGTGGACAGTGTAAAACACTAAAAGTTATTTTGTAAGAATATTAAATATGAAAATCACTTTCAGAGATACTAAACAGAATATATTCGCATCGTCAAATAAGCAGAAAATAGTTGCATCCCCATTATTAAACTCTATGACTGTTAAAAATTAAATTGCAAAACATTAAATCTATGACAGTTCTTGAAACTGTTGATAAAGGCATCTACTTACAAACTTTCACTGTTTACATAGATAGAGATGAAACTAAAATTCAGTTATTAAAGGCCCACCAGCGGCCGAGCGGTAAAATCGCTGAACGCTGGTAGTTCGGTCCGAGGTTCGAATCCCGCGAACGGGCTAGCTGCATGGGTGTTTTCGTGGTTTTCCCCATGTGTAACGTGTATACGAGCCAGTTTCCCTTAGAAAGTCCTCCACGAAGGCATTCCTCCCCTTAGGCAGGTAGCCCTAGTGTGCTTTGCCATAATTAAATAAATACACACACTTATTAAAAATTCTATTTAATGTTGGCTCTCTGTTTCCATGGTACTTCTGAATGTCAGAAAATTTTGTAAAGAATTGAATATCGAAAATACAATCATAAAATTGCTTAAGTAATTTCAGATGTTGTTGCAGAATGTCCAATAGTAAATTAGTAAATAGTAAAGAATAGTAAATTAAATACAGCTATTAGAGTGACTGGATTGACCTTTAAATTCACAACTGAAGAAATAAAACTGGCAAGAGAAAAGGACCTTACAGATCTTCTGGTACATGGCGCGCATGAACGAGTTCTTCATAAAAGTGTAGCTAATACTGTCATGTTTCTTCGCCAGAAATTCTGGATAATTAGATACAGACAAAACGTAAAACAGGTATTAGAAACTGCTTCCTGTGTCACTGTTATAATTCCCGACCGATGCAACAGGCCCTGTCAAAAGAATCTTCATCTCGAATTGAAAAATCACATTTTTTATGTTATAGGACTATATTGTGATGGCTCACCTTTCGTTAAAAATGAAGATACTAAGTATTATAATATATCCTATTATTCACCTACCGTGACATTATACTTAAACTAACGAAAAGATCTAACAATTTAAAATATTTGTCTTTCGACGATTTGTATCTAGAAGAACGTTGTGCTTTGCTATATGCTTAGATAATACTCGTGCATTCAAGGCAGCTGATGCGAAGCTCAGACAGATTTGACAGGTATTAAGCTATTCTTACGTAAAGAATTATTATGCCAAAGAGCGCATTCAGTGAAAATGCATCATAGGAAGAAAAACCTGGTAGGACGGATTTTATGAAATACGTACGGCCCGTAAAAATAATATTAAGAAAAATTCTTGGTCGAACGTCATGTCTAACCGAAGAATTAGAAACTGTATTGAGAATGAAGCAGTGATTAAATTGTCGACTCTTGATTTGCATCGTCCTGCCCAAAGCAACAGGAAGGGATGTTCTGCCGTTGTGGTAATCATTCGGCATCCAGACCCACGTCTTCTGCAGAGCTTTTGATCCCTTTGGTAACAATTCCGCACACTAAGACTAAAATGCACATTCAGATTTCTCATGACAACGGATTGTCTTGCACTAGCTTACAACATCCCGACAGCCGTCCCACGCATTTCGTCGTACAAATGGTGGCTTCGGCTTATACTTTCCGCTTTGGGTATCTTGGATTATACGGAACTATCGCTGCTTGCGAACTGACGCATAAGAGATCGGAAATCATCACTTTGAAGAGAAGTTTTAGACTTGGCGTAGTCTTTACTTCACCTATCACTTGTCCCTTAGGGCTACAGATGTAAAGTCTTAAAATCTGGTCAATACGGAAAGGCCTGTACTAAGAAGTAAATAATCTCGGGAGAGTACATGAACGTAAAATAAGTATTTCTTGTAGCTCTCTAGGTGGTGGTAACTCACATAAATCTTGCGAAAGCAATTTACAGTTGTAATACCATTTCACACGTAAAATAACAATACAGTGAATATTTGTAAAGAAAGTAATATATACAAGTCCCATTTCGAATTTACACTCACAAAGGGGGCGAACATGTTCAAATCTGTCAAAATATTATCTCATTGAAAATGCCCAAATTATTTGTATCGCTGGAATCTTGATAGTTTACAGTGTTTGAAATGTGAAGACTTTAATATATTTAAAATTAAAGGAATTTTTATGAACTAGTACTTTACTAAACAAACCATTAAAAATGCTTTAAAAGGAGGT